GTCTTCACTATAATGGCGGTCCGTGGAGTAGATATTATGGAATTTATTCGGTATTATGAAGAATATTTTGGATATATTTCGAATAACAGATATACATACAAAAATAAAACTTATTAAATAATCTAGAACGAATGTATATTTTAACTTCTTTATACAATCCGCAAAACTTCTTATCAATAGAGATTCTTATGAATAGAGATACACTTTAGTCTTCATTTTGCAAATATGTTTACGCTTCTCTGTTCTATTTTCAAATCCCGTCTATCTTGCTTTCCACATATTTTCTTCTACATAATCTCCGACGCCTCTTCGTATTAATACGCTGCGATATAATGTGTACAAAGATAACACTTGAACAAGGACTTATAGTTTCGCAAAAAATTCCAGTTTCACAAGGCAAGGTTTACACATGGCAAGGTTTACAGTACGCATAAATTACAATACTTAACGCACATGTTACTATTTATATTCCTTACAATTTATGCAGGATTTCCCAAATCAACATGAACACAACTTGTGAAGGCGTAGAATGGATTGAGTCCTTTATGAGAGACATCAGTGTAACCCTGAACCTTTGGCTACGTATAACAACATTAAGACTTTACTATCGTAACATTTAGCTATAATCGACTTCTTTAAAGAATGTGTATTCTCATTAGATGACTACGCGCGTTTGATTGGAATGACTTTCATGCGAATCGGACGTACAGCACGTAGTATAAAATCCGTTTTCATCGAGACATCCTTTAAATAATCAACAGGCTCTAAGTGGAAGTTGTGCACAAGAGGAGCTATTAGGACCTTCATCTCCAACATGGCGAATCGTTGACCTATTAATTCATTAGAACTTATTTGTGAAATAAGAAATTAATATCTTATAAATTACCTATGCAATTTCGTGGTCCTGCGCTGAAGGGTAAATAGGAATAAGGATGACGATTCCTTATATTCTCTGGTAAGAATCTATCTGGATCAAATACCTCCGGATTTAGCCAAATATTAGGATTATAATGAAGATTGTAAATAAAGAAATGCACCGTTGTGTCTTCTGGGACTAGATATGATTCTGTAAGCATCATCGAACATAATAAAACATATTTTACAAGCAGCAATGGAAAATTTAGAAAATAAATATATATTCACATGTACATTATTAATTTATTGTACCTTTTGTACATGTAAAAATTTTTCCATTCGAGTGAAGTAATGGATAAATGGA